CACCCAAATTATTGTTATTTATTTACTCACCCTCAACTTATCCAGCAGAACATTAAAAATAATAGAGGTTTAGTTGAAACTACTGTACTTGTACAATTCAATGGAAATGGTAAGACATGAGACGATAAGCGGTTTCAAGGTTTACCGTGGTTTGGAAAAGTCAATGTTTTAAAACTGCTAACATGTTCTGTTATACTGTTCCTATACGGCAGGAGTGTCAAACTCAGTTCCTGGAGGGCCGCAGCCCTGCAGTTTAGTTCCAACCTTGCTCCAACACACTTATGCCATGGTCACACTATAGTTTGACCATGCGAAATTCTGTCATGGCTGTGTGAAAAGGGGCAGGATTAAACAAGATGATTTGACATTTCAAAAGCAAGCGATTGGTCTATGTTTAAAAATTTTGTAAACTGAGGTCATGGTCTGATCTTCAATTGGTCTCATGCAGTCACGTGATGTAATCAGAATAGGGTTGTAACGGTATGAATTTTTCACGGTATGATAATCGTCTAAAACAATACCACGGTTTGACGGTTTCGCGGTATACGGTATGTTACAAATGTTACAAAATAATAGAACAGTGAAGCAAATTTGACTTTCCAAATAATATATTTTTAGTTACTATAAACAACACCACTTACGATGAACAAATAAAAATAAGAAAATAATAAATAATGTGTCAAAGTCCAAATAAAGTCCAAATATACATGGTGCAAATCCTCAGTAAAAAATAGATATAAATATTTACTATACTATAAATAGTTACATAACGAAACTAGATTCAATATGGAACATCCTTAGGTTTTATGTGCCAGCATGGATATGGTTGTCTATGGATATGGATTTGGAAATGGTTGTCTGCAATGCAGACAAACAGCTGCATCTTCATTTGCGTCTTTTAAAAAAAACAGCAAGAGCAGCAGTTCGTCTTTGCTGTGTCACTGTTTTGTCATGTTTCTGTGCTGCTGTGCATGCAAAAGTACTTAGTATGAGAATTATTTCATGCAAAACTTTTTAATTTTTTTTTTGCGTTTTATTTAGCCGCGCATAAATGTATGCCTATCTCTCATTCCGTGTTGTTCAAAAAGCTTGGTCCACAAACAAAAGCGAAACCTATGCTTATTGGTTGTGATATAGCCAGTTTGAACCGATCTGGGCATGGAGGAGGGAAAATGCATCAATGTATCATGTCTGATTTGTCCGGAGACACAGTGACGAGCGTTTCTTTGTCAAATCAGCGTTGTCAAATGTTGATGATGTAACTGCACTGATTCCGGAGCCTCTGAAAGTCCGTGGTAAACCGTCATACCGGTATATTGTTACAACCCTAAATCAGAATTCACCAAGCTTGAACTTAGCAAGGCAGCAAACTGTGAAACTTGTCGCACGAGCTTGTGATTCCAGTCTGATATATTTGTGTGCGTATGAATGGAAGTCTATGGGGGAAAAAGTCCAGTGTAACCATCCACGGCTTTAGCTCTAAAGGTTTCAGATTTCTAACTATTAAAGAGCTAAGCCCTTATATATCTTGTTTTGATGTCCTTTAGGGGGATCAAGCGTTAATTAAGGGGGTCAATCCCGCCCCAAACCTCCCTATAATTCACACTTTGGTTTGAACTAAACTGTGCAGAGCTGCGGCCTTCCAGGAACTGAGTTTGACATCTTTGCTATAAGGTTTATGTCAAATTTTATGTTTACTGTTCCAAAATCGTTAAAATGTTTCATAAAATAAAATTTATTGTGTTGTTAAAATGTTTTTTACCCAGACATTTAAAAAGAACATGGCTTAGAGCAGTCGTACCACCAGAATCTTACCGGCCCATGCCTACAAATGGTGGAAAATAGTAATACCCGTGCATCCCAACAATACTTTGAGGTCTATTTAAGCAAAACGAATGGTCTTCATGAAACTTTGCAATTTCGAATTTGTTCTACAATTCATTAAAGTAAATGGTTTTAGCTTAAAAAAAGAAGTGAGAGACTTTATTCATCCAGTTAATAAATTCATAAATACATTTTCTCTTTATGTGTCTGTCCATCAGATTAGGGTGAAAGTAATTTGAGGGCTTGTTTTCAGCTGAAATGTTTTTCTAAGCTAAAACATGAAGCAGAATGAAACAATTGGAGGACATTTTTCAGTCAGCTGGTCATTTTGGGGATAAGGGTAGTTCAAGAGGAATGTTCTCCCTACCCCGGAAACCCGGCCCAAATCAAAGAGGCTTGAGGACGGAGCCAGAGTCGTATCTAATGTTCAAATCAAACAGAAGGAGAGTGAGACATGCTGCTATTTCTGTCCCAAAGGAAACTCCAGGCACAGAACACACTACAAGACCTCGTCACACACTGGCCATGCTACAGGAACCAACCTGAGAGGGAACCAATTTACTGTAGAACAACATTCTGGTTGCGAAGATCAAGAACAACTTAGCATAAGCACATGAGGGAGGAATTCAACTATGCCTGACCTCCACTTGAAGAACTTCTCTCTTCTCCTTAAAAAGTGTCTGTCAGCATGCATGCCATTCTGTATTGTCAAAACCCAGCTAAAAATAGCTTCGCCACAGAAAATTAGCACTGTAGGGTGGGAATGCATGCAAAAAGCTATACATAAACCCGCAGAATTGTGCCACTAGCCTTGGTTTGACAAAAACTGATGATGCCTCATCCAAAACCATTTATGCAAAATAACTTCACACACATCCACAAATATCAAACCCAAAACGGAGAATGTATCAACAAATGGTGGGTTATTCACTAATCAAAAGCTTCAAATCACATTAAATAGACCCAAACATCCACACTATTTATGGAGGACTGATAAGGTCAAGATTGGTCTAATGTTCTTCCTGTGAGTGGTTACAACCCTGGGTATCAGTCTGTGAGAGCTGTCAGAGCCAGCACCTGAAAGAGACTGAGAACATCTTACTCACAGAAGACAGCCTGATTTCACCATACTCATGACAAGCAATGAAGACGGCAGCTTCAGAAAGTTAAATGTTAACATGGCAGAACAATTTCATGAGTTCAACTGGTGCTATAGAAGTGAGTCTATTACACTGTTCTCTATAAGCATCTGACATAGAATATCTAAAATTGAATGTTGCATAACTTAAAATCTCCTAAAGGTTATTTAATTGTAAAATCAACCTTAAAGAGCTGAAAAATCATAGGGTTTGCAGCAATAAATCTTTTCATGAGACTACATATGATCAGTTCAGGTGCAAAAACCTCTTAAGTGCCATTTGGAATATTCTTCTACAAAGAGCATTTTTCTCAGCCTCTTATGTTTATGTTCAGTTATTTCATGTTAAAGGGCACCTATGATGAAAGTTATCTTTTGTAAGCTGTTTGGACAGAACTGTGTGTAGGTATAGTGTGTCAATGGTCATATTGAGTGATATAAACACATTAAGTCTCTTGTTTTTTTAATTTCTTGACATTAAAACAACATGACTTTAAAACGTTTTTAAAACAGTGCTTGTTTGTAATGAGTTACAGCCATTTTACAGCTTTACTTTATCACCACAGCCGAATGTCACGACGCCTCAATCCTGGTTTGTGAACATTAAATCAGGTTTATTTTGTACATTAACATAACAGATATCCATACAGCAGTGGATATTAAAGTGTATCCTGTTACATTTGCCATGCAAAGCTAAACGTGCTAAAGCTAAATGGTGATGTGTGTGTCCGTGCGTGCGTGCGTGAACTTCGTAACAACATTGTGTGTGACTCATCATTGCAACTCCACTACATATACATCAAATAATAAATATAGGGAAAGTTCTTACTGTAGCATTTCTCACAAACGTTACGCGAGATCTGCTTCCTTCATGCCTGTCACGGTGCTGTTTATCTGACTCAGCCAAGGCGGAGATTGAGGCACACTCTGACAGGCACGTGGGGAACGGTGGGTGGGGAGAACGAGCATTTCAGGCACAGGCAAAAAATAATAATAATAATAACAAATCTACATTGTGTTCAAATCAGAACATTTCAATGTTCTGAAAGGTATAATAAATAATATGATGGGTGTTTTGAGCTGAAACATTATACACATTTTGGAGACACTAAACCTATCTTAAATTTGGAACAAATTAGGTTGAAATAGGTGCCCTTTAAAAGTGATGTAAATAACCTTTTATTTGCCATAAAAGTGAAGTTTCATTTACTTAATCTCAGGTCATTTATAAGTCTACAGTATATTTTAGAAATATAAGAAAATTACAAGTAGGTCAAGATGAAAAGAGGTTTTTAGTCATAATAAAAGTGTAATTGATCTTGATTTTTTCCTTTATTTTTTAAACATGCATATGTGCTATATATGTGCTGACAATGTATTTGGTTTGGTGTCAAGACAAAAATTATTTAAATTAATTTAAAAAAAGAACCGATATTTTAGTTGCGAATCACTAAAAGTGTCATTGACATCTGTGCTCTCTGTTTACTTTCAGTACCAGGAAAAGAGCAGTAACGTTATATAGCTACACATTTATTTCATAGTCTGTGTCTTCTGAAATACAAGCTCTTGAGTTAAACAATGACAGAAAACATCTTGTGAAATATTCCTTAAGCCAAATAGTAACATAACACTGTTTTTGCTTTGCAACATCAAAAAGCATACGGGCAGTCCCTTCTCACTAAATGCACGCTTGTTTGCAATAATCAGTTTTCTCAATGAAAGCATTCTGCTCAAGCGTCCTAATTACACAGCAGATGGGCTCGTTTTTAAATGCGGTTAATAATTAGTTAGCATGTTAAATCATTTAAACAGTACTCGTGCTCTCACACAACTCCACAGCCGATCGCCAATCACAGGTTCAACATCAGCAAAGGTCGCCGGAGAGGAAGCTGGTTAAATAACACGAGCTGCACTGAACGTGAATCTTTTGCAGGCCTCGAGCCCCGAACCTCTCGTTCCCAGGGCGACGAGTGACTGACGCAACTTTCAAACGCGGGTCCGAAAGCATTATAGTATTAAAAAATCCCTGGACACTTACAATCCAAATGCTTCTTCTTTGGCCCCATGACTTCGTGCGTGGTCGCCTTGCACACCGTTTTGGACACCGCGGAACCGGTAACAATGTGTTGCGCTGCCGTTATCCGGTCCGTAATGCTCTGTCCAGACATCCTCGCAGGTTTAAACAAACAAAAAAGGGGGAAAACAAAAAAAGAGGGGAAAATCTACCCGGGTTGCTAAATCCAACGGCAATGATATAGTCCCTGGGATGTGCACTGTTTCGCCACCTGACTGGGGGAGAAAGAGAGAAAAGAAATGAGACTAATACGCATCAGCCGCTTCTGAGAGTCCAAATGAAGTTTGTCCTGTATGTGTGCCGTCAGCTGATCGCGACATTTACGTACCAAACGTTTCCTCTTCTATTAACAGCAGCGTCCCCTCTCCCTCTCTCAACCCCTCTTGTCACGCACGCGCTCTCTCTCTCTCTCTCTGTCTCTCTCTCTCTCTCTCTTTCCCTCTCCCTCCCTCTCTCTCTTTCCCTCTCCCTCCCTCTCTCTCTTTTTCTAACTCCCCCTTTTTCTCCAAAGCGACTCTCCTCTAGGTTCTCGCCTCCCCCTACTGGGTTTAAAAGGCTTGTAGGAAAATGGCGGGTCTGTTTCCTCTTTTCAGAGGATCCTCCCAAGATTTACATGGACGTTGGGCTGTAAGTGCAAAGTGACGCCATGTTGGCTCTGAAAGTCAGTACCGGGGCCTCACGTTACGTACAAAGTAAGGGCTGCAATTGGGTTTGTGAGCCAAAATGGCGGCTTTAGATAGACAGTAGCTGTGCCTTATCTAGCAGTTCCGCTATTCAGCAGATGACGGTTCACGTGACGGAATTTGTCCAATCGAGTTCCCGGTTTCACATAGTTTTTAAACAACATAATCGATTTTAACAGTTTAGTTTTTTCAAATGCAAGTAAATTTGCTGCATTTTGTTTATTTTTGTTGTTGTTTGTTCTTTTATTACATTTTAAAATATATTATTCGTGTTATTTTCCTTAATCTGTAAGCAGACAGAAATGTTTGAGAAAATTCCAAATATGACAATATGAAATTTATTTTATAATAAGATTTTCACAATTACAATAATTGTTATTATATTGTTTCTTTTTAAAATCGACAATTATATGTACATTCATTTTTTTTATTTTTTTATATATTTAAATTGAGCTGAGACAACACAACTCTTGAGGTTTCATTTGGACAACCTAATTTGGTATGTTCAATGCACCTAAATTTGTTAAAAGTGTTAACTTAACTTCATCAATTTGTGCTGGGACGACATGAATGAATTGTGTGGAACCCTGCATTTTCTTACAGTACAGTTATAAAAAAAATACATAAATGTTATTCGTTTTTTTAATACAGATATTTCCTCCCATTTTCAATTATTTGTTTTTAATTAAAGCTTATATGTTTTTTGTGATGACAATAAAGATAAAGGATAAACAAAGCATATTTATTTACATTACCAATTCTGTGTGTTCTATTGTTTTTAAATATTTGATGGTATAACATGTCTAATATATGTTGTATGATTGCATGTATGCATTAAATTTTAATATTTTTATTAGTATTTATTTAATTATTATAACATATAAATAAAATGTACTTTTAATAATCGTATTATGATTAATATTTATTATTATTATTATTATTATTATTATTATTATTATTATTATGTATTATTATTATTATTATTATTATTATTAAAATACTCATATAGCCTATAAAATACTCATCTAATACTCAAAAACATATTTGATCATTATTTACGAATAAATCATTTTAATTTCCATCGCTTCTTCAGCTAACCTTGCAGAATGTCTAGAAAGGGAGACATCTAGTGATAAAAATATGCCATTACATTAGACACCATCATAATTCTCAGCAGTAGGCCTAGGTTGTTTCTCGATATTTTTTATGCAATAGATAAATCCTGCGGCTGGATCATTAAAGCTTAAATAATTGATGCAAATGACAGAAGTCAATTACACGCATACTAAACATATACAGTTATTAGCCAGTGTTGCAAGATAAGATTCAGCACAAAGCTTCCAGTTAGGCATATCACTGCCAGTGCTAACCGTTTCACCAGAAGATGGACAAGCCATGTGTTCCAGAAATTTCTTATATTTACAAATTTAAAACAACACCATCAGCTCACTGACCAATGTTGATGGAACTTTCTCTCTCTCTTTCTCTCCTCTTTCTTCAGGCTCGTAGATGTAAGGGCTGGTTCTTTTTTCTCAAAATGTGGAACTTTTTGCAGTTATTTTCCTCATTTTCTAATTTTTTATGAGATTTAAATACTCAATTTTAGTGACATTTGACGCACTATTTTTAGCTGGATTAGCTTGTCGGGACGGGTGGTCAATAACCACACGTTTATAAGGTCCCAAAGTTTTGGTAAAATAATGAACAAACTAATGGGGTTAGACAAACAATTTTTTTTTTTTTTTTTTTTTTTACCAACAAAACACAAGCCTCTCCTACAAATGAGCACTGAAATTATGATCGCCGGACCTATAGTTTCTGTGCAGTGTGGCAAAGTGCAAGGAGTAAAAATGTTACTGTTTACCCAAATCAGTGGCGCAGGTTGTAACAGACAGAGGGTTAGTTGTAAAACATGTTAAAAGGCATATTTCACACAATTAATTTAAATCCAGCTTACTTTAAATATAGCTATATTTCCTCAGTACTTATTTTTTTATTCTACATATATATTTCACAGCATGTTTATTTATTTATTTATTTATCCATTGGGTAAACACATTTGGAATTATTTGCATTGTTATACATTAATATACAATGCATTTATTTGCAGTATTAGCAATAAAATATTTTTATCTATTAAAAAATATTTTCTGTTAAAAAACATTTTAATATAAAAAGTTTCCAACATTACACTTTCCAACATGGTGTCCAAATGTTTATGGCTTATTTAAACATCCCAAACTGTTGTGTGATCATAACAATATAAGATTTTACTTACACACTTTCACAGATTTATTTTTAAATAAAAAAAATGTTTGACTAAAATAAAAAAATAACTTTATGCTTAAAAAAAATGGTTTCTCCTGTGTTTCTCATCCAAATTTCACCCAAACTTTTATAATAATTGGTAGGAAGACGAAAATGTCGGAAATTTGCCATAGTTAACCCTAAATATACCTTAAAACTCTGTTACATTTTATTCTGCATTATTTTGTGCTCCACACTCCCCTATCATTTAGAAAAAAAATAGGAATCCGTAAACGTTTTAAATTAAAAACTGTACCCTATTGTCATTTATTATAGGCTAATAATGGCCAGCACATTTAACTTCAACTGATGTGACAGTCAACAGATGATTCTGCTTGGTCTTAAAGCCTTTTCAATGGTTTTTTATTTTTATTTTATTTTTTTACAATTTATGATGGTGTAGCAGTCAAAATAGTACAAATGATTTCATGTATGGTACAAATTCAGGACCTTTGTGATTGAGGGGTGGGTGTTTCGAACCACCCGACCCTACTGGCCTGCTCTTCCAATCTAATAGATTAAAACAACACCCAAAGGCAGATTTTTAAGGCTTCTTTTTTTCTTCTTCTCCTAAACTGAATCATTAATCTCCACTTCAGCAACATTTACACAGCCGGGGTTCAGTTTTATTCATATCTGCATTCGGAAGATTTCTGCCTATAGATTTGCTCATACATAATTGCCTGACGGTTCAACAAAAATGTAAAAATCATTCAAATTCCCCCCAAAAATACAACCCCTGGCAAAAAGTATGGCATCACCAATCATGGAAGACGTTCATTAAAATGTTTGTTTGTGTAGAAAAATAAAACAAGGACATAAAACCATTTTTTTTTTTTTTAACAATCTAACCTTCTGTCAATATGAAACACTTAAAAATAGAAAGGAAAGAACATTGAAGTCTGTTTTTTTTTACAGACCAGAGGAGGAAAATATGAAAACACACAATTCTGAGTGAAAAACATCTTCCAAGAGTGCTGATTCCATACTTTTTGCCAGGGGCTGTATAATACCTAAAATCCTCCCATATAATATGTCAAAACAAAAGAAAAAGAAAGCAAAGGGGAGTTTTGAACATGACATTAACTGCACTCTTTATTTCTTCATGCTACAGTAGTATGCAAATTAACTCATGTTTAATGAAATAAAGCGTCGTTTGCATATTCAAACATAACAAAAAAAAAAAAAAACTTGCATTTCAAAAAGAATTTGAAATTCCGAATGTAATTAGGTGGAAAAATATAATGGTATGTGTTTACTTGCCGTTCTTCTCTAGTGCCTGTAGCTGAGTGACCACCAGGTAAAGGGTATCAGAGACTGATTCTGTCCAGCAGATGAGCCTCTATCAATGCTCTCAAACTCAATTCCTGGAGGGCCGCATATACGCACCTCCAACTCACACCTGCTTAATGTTCTCTTAAGTAGACTTGAACACCTTGATTAATTGGATCAGCTGTGTTTGATTAGGGTGGAGCAAAACTGCAGCTCTCCAGGAATCCAGTTTGAGACCTATGCTCTATCAGCACCACTGAGCACCAGTGTCATCTGCCTGCAGTCAGCCTCATCAGATTAAAGCTTCGTCCGCGCTGTCTCCTGCAGGGGGCGACAAACACACGCGGATCTCCGTGTCCTTGCGCACAAACTTCAAGAGCATCTGGAGTCTGGACAGCAGCATCAGTTTGAGCACAGGTGCGCGCGCCTCTTCTGTTTACTGCAGATATCCAGCCCAAATAATCAACATTTCTACAGTATGTCTTTGTATTTTGCATTTTTAAAATAGTTTGCCTTTCACCAAAATGTTATCGAATGCAAATGATAAATAGCTTTATTTGAAAAATCAGTAAAAAAACAAATAATAATTTGTTAATAAAAACTAATTATGAAAAACATTGAGCTGTCATAAGATGAATCCAAAAATAAAAGTTAATATTTAACTTAATATTTAAAAGTTAATAAAAGTTCAAATATATTTGTTCATATTGCATATTTTTTATAGCCTATATAAATAAATGCATGGCTATATTATAAAAATATTTGTATATTTTTATACATATACAAATTATATTTTAAACTAATTCTTTTGTATATGTTTGTGTTTTTTGAACAGTATGTGTGTTTATTCATACATAAATATACACATATATTATGTAAATGCAAACTTTTATCATGGATGTGTTTAATTACG